AATTTTATTAATATTAAAAAAATATTTTTATTATTTTACAATACTAATAGATTTATTTTTAATTAATATTAATATTAATATTATTATAATAAAAAAAAGTTTTTTTTAATTAATTTTTTTCAAATTAAAAAAAATGTCATTTTTTTTTGCCGGAACTGTAATATCATGAATTTTTAAAAAAAATTAAATTATAAAGTTTTGTATATTTCCAAGTTGATTTTATTAGTATTCACATGATTTTTTTGCGAGCGATGATTGGCTATTTGTTAACAAGACAAAATTCTATCATTACGTATGCCGAAACAAAGCGGCATAAGTTTTCGTTGCTCTATATGCCGGTAATTAATTAATGAGAAATTTTACCGCACTTAATCAACCTTAAATTACGATTAGGACACCGTCTAATTGAAATGTCTGTATCTCACGGGCTAAAGAGGAGCGCGACCCTTCCTGTCGATTCTTCAACATCTAATTCGACAGAAGACCATGTTTATTCAAATGTACTTGAAGAATATGACATAAATAAAAATAATCCCATAGGTAAGGAATCAAAGAATTTAAACTAAAGGAGAAATGAGTCACCTTATTTTACTTTCCGTTAATATTTCTGATGGAGAAATAAGTCTTCAAATAAATTCGTGCATGATGCACTGTAGTCGCGTTGATTGATGAAACCATAAAAGAATTATTTGTATCTAATTTTCGCTTATCTTTTTTAGGTTATGGTGCTTCTGCAATTGTATATGGAGCCATATATAAGCCTCTTAATAAAACTGTTGCGGTTAAAATTATTGATTTGGATTATTTCGAAAGAAATCAAATCGACGAAGTGAGGGTATTGTATACGCATTAAAACAATTTCTATGTCTCGTTCATAAAGATGTTCCGTAATTGACCCTTTGTGAAAAAAAAAAAAACATTCGTATTAATTAGAGAGAAACTCAATTGATGTCTCTGTCCAAGCATCCTAATATTCTACGTGTTTATGGCTCTTTTGTGAACGAGTCAAAGTTATTCATTGTTACTCCTTACATGTCGGCTGGTATGTCCGCTAGTTAAATGAATTAAATATTATCATATGGATTGCCATTGTTCCAACATTATGTGAATATGTTGAAAGATATCCACCCAATTATCAGGTTCTTGTTCGGATATCATGAAGACTGCTTATCCTGATGGCTTTGAGGAAATTGTGATAGCAACTATACTGAAGCAGGCCCTTCAAGGTTTAGAATACTTGCACAAACATGGTCACATTCATAGGTAAATGATGGTCAAAAGCCATATATGATTAGAAAAAAAAATTTTTTTATTTTTTATTTTTTAGACCAAATTAACAGAGGCATATCTGTCATTTAAAAAGGGATGTTAAAGCTGGAAATCTACTCGTGGATGAAGATGGAACTGTCTTACTAGCTGATTTTGGTGTATCTTCGTCCTTAACAGAAGGTGGAGATAAAAAGTCTCGAAAAACTTTTGTGGGAACGGTAATATACAGGATTTTTAAAAATGAGATAGAGTTTTATACTTAGAAAAATTTACGAACATTTCAGCCTTGTTGGATGGCCCCGGAGGTGATGGAGGGTGCAGAATACGATTACAAAGCAGATATTTGGTCATTTGGAATAACCTCATTGGAATTGGCGACCGGGCATGCACCTTTTGCAAAATTTCCTCCACTAAAGGTATTTATAAATTCATTTTTATAATACTTAAAAACAGAATCTTTATACATTTGATTAAGAATATTTTGTTTGTAAATATAGGTGATTATGATTACCATTCAAAATGAACCTCCAACATTGGATAGAGATGCGACCAAACATAAATATGCGCAATCCTTCAAGGAAATGATTGATAAATGCTTGCAAAAGGATCCAACGAAACGGTAAATGTGCTTTAAAATTAACATATATATTGAACTGCTCGGGTGTCATTGTTATTTAATATTTAACATTTTTACAGACCAACTACCGAAAAGCTGTTGACACACGCGTTCTTTAAACAAGCAAAAAAAAAGGACTATTTAGTTACAAAGATATTGCATTCCTTAAAACCATTGGAAGAGAGACCACATAAAAGTAAGAGTTTAATAAATCAAGTATTATTATTATTATTATTATTATTATTTTAATCAAGTAAAATGGGAAATATCTGGATTGGAATTTTAGGAGTCCAACAGAAACCTATTGTTTTTGAAAAAGGAGTTACATGGGATTTTACCGATGACGGTGAATATAGAGAAAGAGAAGTATCTGATGAGACCTTATCTAACTCAGAAAAACGGGTAGTTTTTTCTTTGTCTTCAGAAGGCGGGGAACAACCTACTTTGAAAGAGGAGCAAGGTAGAAAGTCAAGGTTTCTTGTTAATCAGGGTGCTAATTCGGAAACAGAAGCGACCGCCTTACAATCTCCCCCTCCTATGGTGTCTCAAAATGCGTTTTCACAACCTCAGTCTCCTGCTGAAATCAATGCCAATGGATTGACCCAGCAAGATATAGTTAATGAAGAACAAGTGCAGCAACGTCTGCAAAAAAAGGGAAGATTCGTAATCGGTGATAAAAATGTGGCACAAGCAGAAGTAGAAAGTCATAATACTAGTTTTCCAAGAGAGCAGTTAAACGAGAATTTAACAGGTGACACTTAATATGATGGTACTTGCATTGCACAGTCGGTCATTTATTGCCTAAATTTTATCACGGAACCTAATATCAATTCATTAAATTTAAAAATCTTTAGACAATAGAAAGGGTAGGTTCCGACTCGGAGATGCTAGCACTTTAGCAAATCAAACTATTACTAAAATTAGTATGAAGAAGAAACTTAGTACAGAAGCAGGAATAGATGGGAATTCAATGGCACACCTCTTTCAAGATTCTGATTCAATTGGTTCTCACATATCGAAATTAATTCAACATAATGAGTCACAGCGCATTATTTTAAATGAGATCCTACAACAGCAAATTCAAAATTATCAAAAACCTTCCACATTAAATGGAAATGATACAACCACGAGAGACTTGGTACTTGAACTTTTAATTAATTGGTAGTATTCGTTGATATTAAGATGAATCTTAACATGTAATATTTTTTATTTATTTTAGAATGATGTAGTGCGTGAAAATGAAGAACTTCGGAAACAAAACGAGGAATTAAAAAGAAAGATTGAATATTTAGAAAAAAATCTGAGAGATCTTAATCCTTCGACTATTAATGCTAATGCGAATTCAGAAACTGCTAGAGATCCTTCAGATGTTAATGACGCGGCGGCTCCATCTTTAGATGATTCGAATAGTGCTTCAAATTCGCTTTAGTAAATTTAATTTGATCGGTTTGCTGATCCCATTTAAACCAAAGAAATTGGTCAATTTATCTAGAATGCATGTCTTTGAAAAATAAGGGTGGTTAGGCAGACCATTTTTGGGAATGCTATTTATTTATTACTATATTACATATATTTTTTACGATGCTTTTATCGTTAATAGTTAGACATTGTAATTTTATTCCTTCCGTTTGATGAAGGGAAAATTATTGATTAGCAAGAACTTTAAAATATAATAACTCATTCATTTCTAATAGTTTCAAAGACCCAAATTTTGTTTACAGAAGTGGGACTTTATTGTAAATTTTAAA